ACATGGCAGCCAAACACGAGAGAGAACAGAAGAGCAAAAGGTCACGTGTAAACTCATCAAACAAGTGGGCTACCCCCAGCTGGTTTAAACGCCATTAGTCGACTTTCTTCCCATCGAGTACTGAACAGAAAGTCGACTAAACGGCGTTTAAACCGCCCGTAGGACACAGAGTGGCTATGAACTAAAGGTAAGGGAGCTTTTTGAATCAATATTTCGCGTGATCATGATTTTTTTTTTCTTAGCGTCAGTAGATTCGAATACATGTGATAAAATTCGAACATTAAGGGCCCGAATCACATGTAATAATGCAAGAAATATCGACCTTCATTATCTTAAAGGCTACTAGTACAGATACACAAACAAGAAGACTTCATATCTTTAAGATTTTTGCGTTTATTTAGCATCAGATAATACACTAATAATTCTAGTATATTCCGACCAAATGACCTCTGAAGCCCGAACCCACACATAGTGCGCTTGGGCTGCCTGTGGAGAAATCAAACGCGATAAATTTTGTAGCCTGCGTAGCAAGCGGTTCCGCGCGAGTTCGTAAAGAAAACTGGAACGAGAGCAAAAAAAGGAATGAAGGGGGAGGTGGAGGGCCCGCTCCAAATTTCGCGCTATAACTCGACTGGAAACGCTTGCTACGCAGGTTATAAATTTTGGAAATCAAAAGTGTCGTTTGAGAGATCAAACGCGTCAAATTTTAGAAATCAAAAATGCAATTGAGAAATCAAACGCGACAAACTTTGGAAATGAAAAGAAATCAAACGCGACAAATTTAAAATCAAAATAACACAATAAAAACCAAAAGGATTTTTCCTTTTAATCGTAGACAAGATATCAAAATCAAAGAAAACAAGAAAAGAATCAGACATAGTAAATTTTATTTGTGATACTCATCGAACACCGTAAAAATGTCCTACTCTTAATGGTGGTGCTACGAACTCCTTGGAGTTTCTCACCGTGGTGAAAGAAAGCTTTTGATCGAGATAAAAACTGATACGCAATGTTACAAAGTCAAGAAGAAAGCTATGTTAAATGATGCAAAAGCTAGTAAATGGAAGAGAAAGACAAAAAATATAAACAATCTATATCTACAAAAGGAGTTACATTTAAAAAACTAAGTCTTTATATATATGTATATTCTTTTACAGTTTTCCGAATTAAGAATTAAGAATTAAGAAAAAAAGTAATCCTAAATGTTATAAATATCAAAAGTATTAATACTAAAATCTCGCTAGTTCCTTAATATCGATTTCAAAAACGAAAAAATACGAGGCGCGTATTCTTCTCCCTTCAGTTACATTGCGCTGCTGCGCTGTGTTCTAATTGTACGATCGTCCGTGAGCTCGTGCGTCTGCGCCACTATCTGTTCGACTAGTGGTTCAGTTATCGCAGTTGAAGCTTCTTATTCGGAGGCTGCAATATGACTTGGGTTTGTGATCCCAAGACCACCCACCTTACAGGTAACGCTAACAAGCAACGCTCAGCTGGCGTGCAGTAGCCTGCGAGAACATTCGTTTCTCCTCGCTCTTCGCCGCCGGGGACGAAGAAGAGTGAGGAGAAACGGATGTTTTCGCAGGCCCTAGGCGTGCTGGTGTGCCCTCTGATAGCAGAAAGAAGAAGAAGAAGAAGAAGAAGAAGAAGAAGAAGAAGAAGAAGAAGAAGAAGAGGAAGAAGAATAGCCTGTGAGCAAGCTCTCCTATTTGGGCAAGCGAAGCGAGCCTCGCGAGAACGCGCGAGCTAGAAGAAGAAGAATAACAATAATAATAAAAATAACAATAACAACAACAACAGCAACAACAATAATAAAAACAATGACAACAATCATCATTATTATTACACTATCATAGTTTTTTTGCGTCTTCGACTCAGTCTCGGCCCACTATGGCTCACTATGATAAGGAATGCAAAGGAATATGAGAGGCGTGTAGCCGATATCATAACCAGCAATCTTGACCTTACGCGGGCTTGATCAATAAAGCATATTGGCATGAACAAATGAAATCCCGCAAAGTAAAGTAGAAGTAGTAAACATTCTCTCTACCCCACGTATGTGTTTTTATTTAGGGTTTCGTAATATGTAAGAGCATACACTTCCTGCGGCCGGCAGTACGCGATGGTGGGAGGGAATGCTGCACACCCTTTCCGGTTTGGTTTTTGACACGTGAACCTGAAATTAATTCAAGAATTAAGGTCTAATATTTTAAAGTACCTGCAATAGCCTCCATGGTTGTTTCCGTTTTATGCCTAGCAGTCAAAACAACGCTGGAAATGGAAAATGTAACGGGACAGTAAAACTCAGCTTCATCAATATTCCTACCTATTTTTAGTTTTCGCCTTAGTTTATCTTTGAATTTAGTCTTTCCTTCCTTTTACGCTTTAGCAGCGCGCACTGGATCGGCAAATATTGGACAAGTGCTTTTCTTCTTCGTCTTCGTTCTTTGAAGGTGATGTTACATGGGACGATTCGCAACGACGACAATTTTAGCGCAAAGCAGCGTTGCAATGTTGGAACAATGTTGTGACTAATCGAAACAATGTCGCAACAATGTTGCAACGCTGTGTTGCGCTAAAAATAGTCTTCGCGAATCGTCTCATGTAACATCACCTTAAGGAGTTTAGGCCGTTTTACATTGCATGATAAACGCCTTTTTCTGATATTTCAGACTACAAGACGCTTGTCTGAGTTCAACTTCAAAGTTACGTCTGACGTTTTAAAAATGCAAGGTTAACCTCTCTTTTTGAAAGTATTGTTTTGAGCGAAGCCTACCTAACGGCTTTTGATTCAGGAAAAAGCCAGAATGTTGTATGCCCTCATGATCAATCGAGTTCAAATAATCCTGCTAACAATAAGATTAAAACAATTTTCTCTTCGCAGTTTTTTTTTTTTTGCTTGAGAATGTTTTAAATCCGATAAGTTGTACGCCCTCTATTAAAAGGACAACAACACAACGAAAACAGAGGGTCAGATTGCCACAGTCTGGTTGTCCTTGCTATTTTTTAAATAGCTCTCATAAAGTTCTCTTTAACCGTGTTTGCTTAGTCGTACAAACAAATAGTACATAAAATAACTTGTTATTCATGTATTCCTGTGCATACCAAAGTGAAAGTACGTATTTATACAAATCTTTTTTAAAACCCCAGATAGCCTGTCTGCCAACATGATTGTATTGTTTACATTTCGCATATTAACTTAATACTCCCGGGAATTCAGAGATTACGCGCGTTTCAATGCTATGCCGGAAATGCGGTAAAGTATTAAAATTTTAGTTTTTCGTAGCATCATTTTTGTGTGTAGTGTGTTGCGTTTTCAATATCGAAATGCAAAAGTTACGTGTGTTTACCTTAATGGCTGAATTACTATTCGGAGGTGGTATCGGTGCTTTTTTAGCCCTTTAAAGAATGATAGGAAAGTTCGTGGTATGACATGGCACGAATTTGGCAGAAAATTCTCGGGTTTTCCGCGAGATCGAGAGATCGAGTAGGTGTGGTTGGCTAATTATTATTCCGAACACGATATACTCATTCGTCATTGGCAGACAAATCTTGTGATGACATTTCCTGAATTCGTTAGGCAAAAGGAATGACAACGGGGGTGATTTCTTCACAAGATTCACGTTTCACCACTCAGAGCAGAACCAGAGAACAGAGCATTTTAGCAATCTAGACAACCCAAATCATAGTTACGAGTGCAACCGAGGAAGATCCGTATAGGACGGATTAAACTGGAAAAACGTGTAATCAGAGACTGTTGTAATCGATTGGAGTGTAGAATAAGTCACAAGTAAGTGGTTGTTTTTTGTTTGCACATTCACCACCATTTACTTTTGCAGCGATTCTTCCTAAAGCCGAGCTTGCCATGTGCTTCGACTCGCCGCCATAGTCACCGCTTACTTTTTACTCGATCATGGAGGTCAGGTCGACTACTTAAAGCTTTCAAAAGCTTTGCACTTCTCAATGCTGTCACATGTTTAAATGCATGCACGATATATGTTAGAAACTATACCGTAGCAAGATGCCGTAAGGGGCATTGCTGTTCTATAGCATTGTGATTCTCCTTGTATATTAAAACGTTTTCCGCAAACTTTTTTCCTCCAAACAGAGCTAGCTCTAGGTAGATTTTAAAAACAGGCAAGGTCACTGTGTTTTTTAGCGTAAAAAATTGTTTAGAATACGACGTTAAATGTATTGAAACACGGTAAGGTAAGGTAATACACGATTATTGGAGCGAATAAATATTAAAATAGGCCGATTAAAAACTTTTCACCATAACTTGTTGACTTAATGAAAAAAAAAAGTTCGAAGAGAATATTTGCTGTTTTGATGGTTGATTCTTAATCTGTATAGATGATAATAAAATTCGAAGACACAGTGGAACGTCCATATAAACGAAGGATCAAGTCCTCAAGGGCAAAATAACGATATTTGGTTATATCGAGGTTCATTTCCATTTTTTGTTATGAGTAGCATATCGATATACCTACATTATGTAGAACTTAGTTCATACAGAGGATCGTAATGAGGTCCGGCTGTAAAAATAAATCACTTGAAATCATGTAAATGTTCTATTTTCATTTCATTGAGTTAGCATTGCATGCTGGGAAGCGGTGAAGTAGTTTATGCTCGAGTTGTTGCGAGAGCGGTTTATTTGAATCGCTATATTAGCAATTTGTGGTCATTTGAAAAAGCTTTGTTTACCCGTCACCTAAGCCACAACAAATTGAAATGAAGTTATATTGTCTAGCACTTTCAAAGTCAGCTTTTGACGCCGTTAATAGTAGCGTCGCAACCAAATCAGATCGTTCACTTGCACTTGTGCCGTTGTCAAGATGGCGAACTCGTAGTGGTTCACATTTCACAACATTAAAGGGTATTTTTGGAATCATATATTGTAAAGGAAAAGGAAAAGATTTACTTGTCAACTGACTAATTTGTCAATCTTATTAATATCTAGGTGTAAAACTAGACCGACATCAAGTGGACAAAAGAGACGAATGGACGTAAGGATGATGTTCCTCTATGCTACCGCATTGCTCATTTTAGCTGGTAAGACTTAGAATAGCTATGGTGCAGTATCAATTTACTCTATCTTATTCTTTAATAAAAAAGCACCGTTATACTTTTGTACTCAGGAGAAATAAGTTAAGAAGTGTTGCATGTGCTCTTTTTTTATGATTTATGATTCATCTAGTAGCAGAGTACAAAATCGAACGGCTTTGTTGGGAGTCGCCAATGTTAAATCGAAAACTTTTTTTTGAAATCTTTTAGTATCAATTTTTCACTCTTTTTCTACTTCGACCCTTCCTTAAACATTTCATTGTCTGATGCCCAGTGGGGGGCGGGGAGTCCCTAGTTCCCTTCCTTGAACACTTCATTGTCTTATGCCCAGTCAGGGGGGGGGGGGGGGCCCCTACTTCCCGCCCGTAAACATTTCATTGTCTGGTGCCTAGCCCCCGGGGGGGGAAGGGGGGAGGGGGGTGGGGGGGGGGGGGGGGGTTGGCGGACCATGCAAGGGTTCGAACAAAGTTAACCACCAAAATTGTGGTGGGGCGGGGTGGGGGGGGCGCGCGCAGCGTTTGGTGTGTCGTCCCCCTGTTGGGGGGTGTGGGGCGGGGTGGGTGGGGTGCGGGCCCCCTACGGCGCGGCCGTAAACGTTGCGTTGGCGGGGGCGGGGGCGAGGTGGAGGGAAGGGGGGAGGGGGGATGGGGTGTGGGTGGAGGTTTGCAGCACATGTCACAGTTCGATCAAAATTGACCATCAAAATTGATAATGTTTGACATCTGTCTATTGACTGGGGTATTAAGATTTCTGCACAACCCCATACATGTATTATTTACATATTTTGACTGTATTCATTTTAACTATATGTGTGAAATGATATGAAATTGAGGCATGCATAATAAATGTAGGAGGATTGTACTGCAGGCATTTCTGACCACCTTTTGTTTGCATGGCAGTATGTTATAGCAAAATATTTCGTCTACAAAGCAAGAGTGTGTTCACTGATTGTTTTTTTTTTCCACTTCAGGAGGTACTCAGAGCACTCCAGTTCCAGGAAAATTTTCCTTTGAAGTCACTGCAAAAATTGAAGTACTTTGTGTACATGTTAGTTACAGTGTTGCAATCAACTGCAAGACTAATGATCCAAGTGCAAATGTTTCTCTCTCTCTTCCTAAACACTTGCCATCACACAATTTACCAAGCTTGCAAGGAAGGTTAAAAAGAAATGGAGCAATCTTCACTATACAAAAAGCAATTTTACACGACGGAGGAAAATACTATTGTGTTGCAGAAAAGAATGGGAAAGTGATTAAAAGAGAAATCTATCTCTACGTGGCAGGTACGTGTGGAATATTTCAAAGTTACATACTGTAATATTGGATGTCTATGTCATAGGCTTGTAGTGATAAAAGATTTAATCTTAAGGGCATTCATGCTTGCTGTTTTTGTCATCTCCTTATGCACTCATGATATTGTCCCACCATGTCATGTAGCAATTTCTGACTTTTCAGACATTTTGGTTGCCATGGCAAATAGAAAAACATTTTTGCAACTAAAATTGTAGCAGTAGTCACCGATTTATTTGCTGGCGAGCATTATGTGAGCCAGCACACTATTCTCTACAATAGCAGGAAAAAGCCAAAATTTATTGGGTGTAAGATCAGGAGCATGCACAGTCGATTGCTTTTCTTATTATCCGGGGTATTCACTCCTTTGCAATGACATCGTGTAAAACGCACTTGGACGAGATCGAGAGAATACAAGAGCATGGTGGCCAGCGGATAATTGCAGTATTTTTCCCAAAGTAAATATTTCAGAGACAGGAAGCGAACCAGCAGAGGAAATGGTAATAATTGTTCTTCAATGATTGAAAAAATAATTTCATTTCTCTTTGTTTTTCTCGCATATCGTATTTGTCCTTTGGTATTGAAATAATTATTGCATTATGCAAGTGTCACTCACTGCAACCATGTAAATTCTTAACTGACAACAATGCGGGCTGGACTATTGATCGATTTTATAGGTATTTTGCCGGGTGAGGAGAAGATTATAGAAGTTATGATACTGACAAAAATCACTAGAGAATTAGTGTCAAATTTATCAGAATTAAGTCTATCCAAGAGAGCTTTATAAAGTATGAGCTTGCATACCTGAATAAACAGATTCACACTTCATAACAGTGATGACATTTCACTTCTTTTATTACAATCAGTCAACACCTGAAATTCAAAGTTAAAATTCAAACAACCCTAATAAATTACAACTATTGCTGAAAGCTCTGTACCTTGAAGCGACCTTAAGTTTCCTTAGTTTTGCACCAAAACACTACTTGATAACTCTTTGGCAGTTCTTTCAGCCTTTGTATACGCAGCTATATGTTGCATATTCAAAACTCTGTGGAGGAAAATTGTTAAAAGGAAAAAGCAAAACACACACTATGTCTGAAAAGCAACATAAAATGAATAATTTTGTGAATTACCAAAATATTATACTGAGAAACAATCCTGCCTTCAACCTCCATGATTTTGTTCCTTCTCAAAAAATGTTGATCTTTGGTTTATGACGTAATGTTCATGATCAGTATACAAATAAACTGGCAAGGCTCTTGATGTTCGCTCTGCAAGTTGTGAGAACAAATCCTCTTTCATAGAGATGAGTTTTTCTCTGTGCATTCAGCAGAAGTGTTGTGCCAGGCAAAAATTTTTCTGTTGGGAGTAAACTGCTGACTCTAGCTCGCGGGTCTTGGGACAAAAGAGAGGAAATGTGTGAAGCAAACCAGCTTTGCACCTAAAGCCACTTCTGTACCACAATCAATAAATCATTTGAAGTATTTTTGCCCATTGAGGCGTTAAATTTGATCTTTGTGTCAACATCTCTTCCAATTTAGGTTAATAATTCAGCTTATAATTTGACCATGAGTCACATTCATCCATCAAGGCGAAAGAAAGTCTGAAACCATGTAAATTCAAAATGTGTATCACTCTTTGAAGCTAACCCTTGGCTAACCATTCAACTGTAAAATTATTTGACTGTCATACTGGCAAGTGCCTGCTATGCCATGCGCCAGCACATAGACTACTGTCATGTCCAATGTTTTTTTATACCTTTAAGTCCAAAAAAAATTACTGAGCACCACATTTCCATGTGTCAATACTTTTGCACCTCCTTTTGCAAATTGGCAGAAACTTTGTTGACATAGTAGAGTAGCATAACACAAAAATGTCATGTCTGCCCTGGGATTCATCACTTACCCATTCGTGACCACAATGAAATTATTTCTGTAGGCTAATAAAGAAATTTTAAAAATATAAAAAAGCGATTACTTACAACCCAGGCCTCGTTTATCATCTGCTTGCACTCTGGAAATTCGCTCAAAGGGCTTCCCCATTTATATATCAGAAATACACGGAAATAACATATTTGTCTTTTAAGGCTTACCCACCCTAATTCTCAGGTATTATTTTCATTTTCTTCACTTTTTTTATTTTTAAACTGTATTCTCTGTAAGCTCTGATGCCAGCACTTAATTTCAAATTGAAACTCTTAGTTTTATTTGTTAGTCTAGGTTCAGATGCTATACTTAGTTCACATAAGCTGAATCCTCACGAAGCACAACTTCTGAATCAGTTTGAAAAAACTAATTGAATTTGAATCGGCTCAACCATTCTTCTTGCCTGGCTCAGCTGGGAATAACAGCCCAATTTACCTAATATTATTTAAAACAGTGCCTTATGTGTTGTAAGGAAGTTCTTCAGTATGCTTTTTCTTCAGTACAATATGGTGATACCCCAATTTTTTTTTCATTTCTTTATTTGGTTATGTATAAAAGAAGCAACAGTGTTAAAAAATGACCTTTGCAAAGTCATTGTATGGACAGTGCTTGTTATGAAAATAACTTATTGAATGTTTGGTCTTGCTTTTGTCACAGGGATCCCAAATCTTTCCATTGTTCCTTATATGAGCAAGCGTGTACCCAAGGGATCAAATGTCATCTACACATGCAAGGCACATAATGCTACAGTTTGTGACAATTTGCAGTGGTCCAAAGTCAATGGGCTTATGAATGACGTTAGCGTAACATCACCGTGGAACAATAACGGAGTGTGGGAAACAGAACTGGAAATTGAAAAGGCTGCTTTTGCTCATTCCGGGAGATACAAGTGCGAGCTTTCTTATCATCAGGATTTGTTGGCGGAAGATGAAGTTGAAGTGACAGTCTCTGGTAAATGTCATTTTAAGGTCATTCATGTAAAATGATAATAATAGTAATAATAATATTTTGTTAATATTAATACTGATATTTATGATAATTTTCTTATAATTCATGGAGAAATAGAGGATATTACATGGCTGCGCGGAGATACGAACTTTTCTCTTTGAGTGTTGAAAAATATTTCACTCGTTCGCTGCTCTCACTTTCTCTGCTTTCATATCTCCAAGCGGCCATGTAATGTTCTATTTTTTATATAAACACCAATGAAATACCAAACCATTTCACTTTAATAGTTTTTTGGTGTAAAAGGCTCAATTTATTATGTAGCCATAGCAAAGGTGATATTTTCACATGTGAAGATAACATGTTATTTTCACATGTGAAGATATCAAGTTTTCGCGCAAAAGCTCACCTGGTATTTCATTGGTGTTTATATAATAATTATTGATACCACCTTCTGGTTGTCTGAAAAAGCAGTTGAGCATCTTATTTTTCTAAGTTACATGGGGCACTGACTGGGAAAATTTTGGTGTTTTGGATACATGTGGGTGGTTACAAATGGAGGCTCGACCCTCCCCACTGTACAAATGTCTGTACAATTTTGTGACTTTATGGAGCAATATCTTTGCTCACTTTTAACCCTTTAAGCCCCAGTATCCACATTCAACTTCTCTAAACTGATCTCCATACACTTCCTTACAGAATGAGTTTAGAGAATTTGATAAAAGATCATGGCATTTTTCCTTGGGTGATCACTTTATTAATTATCATAATTTATCTCTTGACAGTGTATGGATATTGTTAGGAAAAAATTGATCTTGGTCACTATTGGCACTTAAAGGGTTAAGGGATCACCTTTAAATTTGGTAAATTTCCTAATTTCAAGGTGGTCTTTCCATCAGTGTCTATTGATATTCCCTTACTGGAGGTATTTGTAAGAGTCAAAAGTCAAAAGAATTGTAGAAGGGTCCATTATTGCAGCATCACCTAATATCATAGGCCCTGGCTAATATTATCTACATCTACAATGTACAACTTTAACCCTTTAAGTTCCAATAGTGACTAACATCAATTATCTCCTAACAATATCCATACACTGTCAAGAGATAAGTTATGAGAATTAATAAAATGATCACCCAAGAGAGAATGCCTTGATCTATTATCAAATTCTCTCAACTAATCCTTTAAGGAAATGTATAGAGATCGGTCAGGAGAATTTGTATGTGGATAGTGGGGCTAAAAGGGTCAATCTACAACAGTTTCCCATCATACTTGCCATGACTTAAACAATTGCATGATGCCAGTGCTTCTTTTCTTTTTTAAGACAAAACCATGCCTAAAATGAGAAAGTCAGCAAATTTAAGGGTGACATTATTAAACAGTTTTGAAAAGTGAAGGTGTATGTGATTTCGTTCCAGCTCCAGAGGACGTGAAGATAACCACCAGCTCCCCTTCTCCGATATGGGTAAACAATCCAGTCCAGGAATTGAGAATCAGATGTGTCGCCACTGGCTTTCCTTATCCCACATTCACATGGCAAAAAGATGGGAAAGTCATAGAAAATTGTGAAATACATGAAGAATGTGCCAAAACTAAGAGGTACCTTTTGACGTCGTACGGCCTGAAAATAGTGCAGCCACACTATCCTGATGATAATGGCAAATTTAGCTGTGTAGCAAGAAATGCTATGGGGACAGACAGAAGAGACTTTGATGTTATTATACCAGGTAGGTTTTGATTGTGTGGAACCCTTTTCCCTCTGATCCCTCACAGCCAATCACCCTCTGAGAAACCAGAGGGGTGAGTTCAGAGGTCATCAGTCCATCAGTGTACACTGTACAAGTGTTGCCTATCAGCTGTGACTGTTTCCTTAGGGCATCCCCTTATTTTTTTTGTCTACCGTTGAATGCTTTTCCTGATTTTGCGTCAGTCGGTCGGATTTAAAACAAAAAAAATCACAAGGAGTGTCGGAATAGGTGGCTTGGTACCCCTGCATCGTTGCTGTGGAGCCTGGGAGCAACAAGACATGAAGTAATATATCAAGCTTGAGACGCAGTGTTTCATCTATTGATGAAACACTGTGTTGAATGCTTGATATTACTTTTCAAAGAGATTTTAGAAGAAATTAAGGATGCAAAAATGAGTAGTTTTTCGCCTGATTTCCAACACTCATTAAACATTCATTTTCTTTGTATTTTCTTTATGAATTATTAATGAGATTGACGACACAAAGTCAATATGGCGGAAGAGTTGGTTGATGTTTTAGCAAAATTGAGACAACGTAGGAAAACAAAGTGCACAATATATTGTAAAAAAATGTTCCAGTTTCGCTCAATGTTACTATGCTCATTTTTTGGACTAAAAGAAGTAATTAAAGTGATAAGAGGTTTGTTGTGCAAAGATTGATATAATGCTTGGGAGACATGTTGGATCAATTAAGGTTTTCGGAAAACTGCCCACCTACCCTTCCCCTAACCCAACATTTTGCCCCAAGTGAGAAGCAAATGTTAACGTTAGGTTAGGGAAGGGGTAGGAGAGCAGTTTCCTAGAAACTTAAATTGATCCGACATATTTTGTTCGGCACAAAAGATGTGATTCAGTCATTCACAGGTAATTTCTCGAGTGTCTTAGCGAATAAGGACGCGTAAATTAGCCTGAATTTCACTAAATTACTTCGAGTCGTTTTTACTCCCTCCTGATAGGAGAAAACGACTCGAAGTAATCGTCTGAAATTCAGGCTACGTGTAAATGGTATTCTAAACAAAATAAACTCGACAGCCGTGACGTCACAGCTCTTTTAAATACTTATGGTCACTGCTCTGTTTTCAGTGAAACCTGTTTTAAAGAAATCAGTTCAGACAATGTACCCGTGGTCACCTGGCAGGAAAGAACCATTGAGTATCCCATGTGTTCTGCAGCAGGGCGCCACCCCAGACGTTACGTTTACCTGGCAGCGGCAACTGATCATATATGATATAAAGCTCCTTCAGAACATCGCTAAAAACGACGATAAATTTGAAATCATTTCTTCCCCGAATCATACAGGGAGTGTATTGAAAATTGTATCATTTCCTCAGCCTTCAAGAGTCAGCTTTGTGTGCAACGCAGCTAATTCAAAGGGGAGTGATAAAATGACGTTTGAACTTGCAGAAATGAGTTATTAGAGGTCAACTAGATTTGGTGCTCCCCTGCCCCTCCACCCCCCCCCCCCAAAAAAAAAAAAAAAGCCTTTTGTTTTGTTGAATTTATTGGTTGTTTTTTTTTTTTTTTTTTTTTGAAAGGGAAATTTGGGGGTTTTGAAAAATTTTTTTTTTTTTTTTTTGTTTTTTTTTTTTTTTAAGAGGGGGTGTTATAAAAAGATGGGTGTGGGAGAAAGAGAAGTGATAAGAGAACTGCGGCGCTTATGAAAATTTCTGACTTGTCAGTTAGGCGTGTTTTGCCTTTAAGGACGGCGTCTATCTAAAACTTGCTGTTTGCGAATAAGAAAGTACTACGTAAACATTCTTTATTTTGTTCAAGGGAGATGACAATAGGAAAAGGTGAACGTAAAGAAGGTTTACGTTTTGAAGGTTCCAGATCTAGATTCAGTTATACAGTAACGATGTTAGATGCAATATTAGGGAGCTTTAGCATCGACGACGGCAACGGCAGCGAAAACGTCAGTTTAAAAATTAATTCCCGTTTTTTCAATACTTGTGGCGTTTATTCCAATTTGCTGAAAATGGCAAGTGTAGGCGAATTTCCCTGGAGTTGATTTCTTGAGGACCGCACTCAAGTTTAGAGAGAGAAAAAGAGATTCGTCGTCGCTTGTTTACGTCCTCCATAAAACTTGGAATTAGGCTTTTTCACGTCGTAGTCGTGCAAGGACGGTAAAGAAATGTACAAAAAAGCGTGATGCACGTGCAAAGTTGTTGTTTTGCGTAATAAACCTATTGCTTTTTTGACGTCCTATTTGCCGTCGCCGTCGTCGTTGCTAAAGCTCCCTAATAAATATCAATCGTGTAAGCATTTTCTCATTAACTTGATTTTAGTCCCAAGAGAAACCAAAATCACTTTTCTAAAAATATCCGTACTCAGAGAAAAGGTTACAAGAATTGACAAAATGATCATAGGGAAAATGCCTTGATCTTTAATCAAATTCTCTCAACTGATTCTTCAAGGAACTGTATGGCGATTAGTTAGGAGAATTTGTATGTGGATACTGGGGCTTTAAAGGTTAACCAAGTCAGAAATCAGCTGCTGGGCGAAAATTATTCGTTGAGGACCGCGCTCTTTCGAGTAAATAGACTAGTCTATTAATATAGGTGTAATGCAAGTGTTTTTTTTTTTTTTTTGCGCTTATCTTTGCCTTTTAAGTTGAGATATCTGCACTCAATAATGAAAACAATTCAATTTCCGTTAAGATTTGTAAAATATTTAGACTCACTTCATTATACTCGTACCCAAGATAATATTCAAAATCGCAACATCGCTTGGCGTCAAGCCTGTTTTTAGCCTGTGTACAGACGCCGCCCTCAGACTTTTTTGAGAGGAGGGGGCGTCTGTACACAGGCTAGCCTGTTTTTAGATAGTTTTAATAAAACTACATATCGTTACGTTAAATTTATCATTATCGATTGCTTTTGTTTCATCTGATTTTGATATTAGAAGTCAGCTTGCCGCCATGTAGTTTTTGTTGAAAATACTTTTCACTAATAATCCTTGTATTCGTACCTAGATTACCAGTACATCTACCTTTGTTTCATTAACTACCGGAGGCTGCTGGTTATAAACCGTGTACTTGCCTATACATCTTCGTAAGGGGGTTTTAGGAGGGCTTTAGACTGCAAAACAGTCGGGTTTTTTTTTCTCAAAACCGGTTTAGCGTAGCGTAAAAATAGCGTAAGAGTCACGCGCGCGAGCTGCGTGTGAGGCGTCTCTCCCCAGTCTCGCTCTCTGCAAGGGTGGCGCAGTGGTGAGAGCACTCGCCTCCCATCAATGTGTGGTCGACGCCATATGTGGGTTGAATTTGTTGTTGGTTCTCTCCCTTGCTCCGAGAGGTTTTTCTCCGACTACTCCGGTTTTCCCCTCTCCTCAAAAACCAACACTTCCAAATTCCAATTCGATCTGGAACGCACGGACACGTTTAAACGAGTTGATCATTGGAAGCCCTAAAATAACAGAGAAAATTATCCGAGAAAATGGTTTTGAACACAAGAAAAAGAAATCCGGGTTAAATTTAATCCCGGTTTAAGCGCTAATCGGCCTTGGAATGACTGGGCGCAGATGTATTTTTTTCTTGTTGTTTACAGGTAGTTAGGCCTATATTGGTGGTTTTATAAGCTAGCCGACTTATAAGCGGCAGTTTACGGTAATGTGTTTGTAACGTTTTGGATGCAAATTAAACATGATACTTACTCAACGTTGTAGCCTTGGGACTCTTGAAAGTACCGTATGTGTTTCCCCTGGGGTGGTTACTTGGGTTGTTTTGTTTGTATGTGCTGCCCCAGTCTCCAAATTTATTTAAAAAAAGGTTTTGTAAAAAAAAATTCCCGTTCTAGAAATATTAATCAATGAGTCAATTTTCAACAGCTAGTGCAAGATCATTCTCGTATGTCCGAAATGTTATACCCCGATCTGGGAGATGCATCGAACAGGGACCCCGCTCTTGATCGGGATCTCTAACATCATGACTCTGCAGGGCGGCAAATAACTGTATTGGTATTTTTGGGGTAGGTGGAGGCTACTCCCTGGAGTTTTTCCCCTTTCCGTCGTCTCCCGCGCGCTTTCTTCTTTCCTCTCCAGTCTCTTCCTGACGCAGAGAGGGGAAGGGAGGGCAAATGAATTTGTTTTAGTCTCTGTACTGTCTACTAGGGACAATTTGGATTTCTCTTAAGTTGTCTTTCGTGCGCGCAGTTCGGGGCGTAATGAAGGCTGGAAATGTTAATGATCAATACCCCCATAGATACCTTACTGTGGAGGTTTACAAAATGTAGTATTCACTTCTTCAATTCATCAAAAATTTAATAGACCATTGGCTGTAGGAAACATGGGTTTCGATTAACGTTTCCGCGTCTCAGGATGAGAAGAGAACGCTCGGTAATTACCAAGATTTCACGCATGCCGATCGACTTCTGAATCAAAACTGAGCTTATTTAGAGGCTTCTACAAGGAATATATATGGGGAGAATTGACCAGAAAAGACAAAAGACAACTTCAATGTGAGTAATTCAACTTTATTACGCAAAAAATTAACCTTTATTTAGTCGAAAAGCATCTTTCCTATGGCCCATGAATAGACAAAGAGGTGGCAACCAGGCCCCAGGCGAGTGTGTATGTTCTGCGGCATTTTGTAATAACGGCAATGCCTGCTAAACTTACTTAGTAACGGAAAGTGGTATCTTCCACAAAGATAGTCATCTTCACAATGACGTCTTGATGACACCAAAACGTCGTTTTTACTCCTGCTTGCTTCCGTTTTGCAATTAGAGAGATTAGAATCACATTTACGACGTACGGCAAACATTAGATTCAAGTTGAGAATTTCTTAAGTTTAATTAGAAAATAAACAGATAAGGAATGTCCAAGTAAGTCAAGATAATTTTAATGGACAGCTGACATAAGACTACATTTATTTTTGTATACAGACATAAATGATAGCTCAAGAGGGTCTCAGTGGGGTGGTGGCTTTTAAGATTATCGGCTAAAGTTTTGGCTCTTTTACGTTCAAGATAAGTTAAGGGAAATCTTGGTCATGTAGCACAAATGTTTGTCTTTTCCCATAAACGGGATTTCCAAATCTTCATTTTCCCGCAAAAATCGGTGTAATCTAAATTAAGGGGTAATATAACTCCAAAAGGAATTGCCTCGCGAATTAATTCAGGTTTTATTGTTTATAATAATTAAAGGCATCCTTGCTCAAATTTCCATAGAATTGACAAAAGCAAGATTAGAAACTCGTCGGGAACTTCGATGAAATTTTTGCAAAACAATCCTTCTCCCATTTGCTCGGTGATTCTCAATATTTGCTGCATCGAGAGTGTCTTCTGGCGCTTGAGTTATTTGAGTCGATCTCGACGATCCGATCCTGGACGGTAAAATTGAACAACATTGGAAAAAGCGACAAAGCTGAAGTCCCAAACTTTCCAATGCTTGACGAAAATTTGTACTCAACGAGAAAAGAATGATGGGATTTATTGCTGTGCTTAAAGATGGAAAGACGTAAAAGAACAAAGCGACGAGCGTCTTGCATTCGTCTTCTAGAAACAGATCCGGGTGGAACATTTTCAGAGAGAGATAAACACAAAGAGGAGTCCAGCAGATGAAAAAGGCCACGACGATGGAAATGAGGATTTTTGTGATTTTTCGGTGCTGTTGTTCTCTTTTGTTGCTCGCCGAACCTTGCATTTCTTTTCTCTTTCTCAAAGTTTTCACGATGTGTATGTAGAGTATAGCCATCAGAATGAGAGGCGTACAGTAGAAGACAACAAAACCAGCCACATTGAAAATCATGTTAGCTAATGCACCCCACAAAGTTCTGCAAAAGGTGTGGTTTTCCACTTTGACTGTATCAGTGTATACTATATACGGGATACCGCAAACGACAGGTACGAACCACGTTATAAGGAGTAACATAACACGTTTGTTTTTTCCCACTAATAACGCTGACTTCAACGGAAACACAATGGCAATGTACCTGTCTACAGCGATTAGAACCAAGCTTAGCACGGACACAACTTGGGAGACTCCTCTGGAATACATCCCTAGTTTGCAGACAGCAGAGGCCAAAGATCCCGTGATGAATTTTCTTCTTGTCAGCATCCCCTCAGTAGCGTATAGCGGCCAGTTGAAGCATGCGCAGAGGAGATCAGACACCGCCATGTTGACTATGTAGTAGTTGGTGATTGTGCGAAGACTTGGAGTTTTTAAGCAGACCACTGTAACCAGAAAGTTTCCTATAATAGCAGCAACGCTGATGGAAGACATGATCGCGATGAATAAATTGGATACTGTGTTGGAACACGGTGGATTCTGAATCTGTATGGTTGAAGAGTTGTTCATGATGAAAAGCAAATTTAGTTCAAAAATACATCCCGCTCACGACCTGTATACGAAGACGTATAGACTGTCCCACTGCCCAGAAAATCTTGCTTTTATTTGATAGTTACTCCACTCACTGTGGAAATAAGAATAGAAAACAGTGTTTTAAACAAGGTACCTGGCTAAGGAAAGATTTACAGGAGATTTTGCTGCTTTAAGGCGAGTTTTCACTTAAAAGTTGCTTCTAAACTACGTAAGGCAAAATAATAAAATCCTCTTATGTAAGTGTCTACGTGTTTTTACCAAAAGCATTACACACATTTAAACAAAAGACATGACATATAATCGAAAAGACCCCACCATAATAAACGATATTGTTTGCCTATTCTTATCGTAAATTAAAAATAAACGGAACGGGTAATTACTATACCATTTAGTCCTTGGGGGACTGACCGAACATTGTGCGCGATCGATGGGATCGAAAATCAAATGGTTCGCCCCATTCTGTTTGGGGAGCTTCGGAAAATATAGCCTGTCGTTTAAGGCGATGTAACTTTCTTCCCTTTCTATCCAGCTTATTTGAATGGAATTTTTAGCGGGTTCTTCTTTAAACGGTGAAAAATTAATGCGCGAGATTTTCATAACCGGAGCGGACTTTGTGCCGATATGAGCGAAAATTGGGGGTTTGTGTGAGTAGTTAGTAACCCCGTACTCCTATACGCCCTCGTTATTTTCCAAAGTGCCGTCGGTTTCCTCTGTGTCATGAATTTTTACTGAAATGATATTTTATTGTCAATTGTCCTCCTTTTCAGCTTAATTTTTCTTCAATTTCCTGTAGATTGTTGAAATCGGACCAAAAGGTGTAGAATTCAAATTTTGCTAACGATGCTGATCCCTCGGAGACTGACAGGAAAGAAAATCTTCCAAAACTCGTAAGCAGAATTTTCGAAAAGCTCTTTCGCTTTAATACAAAGCCAGCGGCTTATCAAAAGATGTTGGTGTGCTCGCGAGAAGATAATATTGACGTTTGCAATAAAATGGAACTTTTATAATTTTTTACTCCTCGAGGTTTATTTTACGAGTGAAGGCTTGCGGGCCGTGTTCGTCGCGTCTCGGCCTCTTCATCACGGATTGACTACTCTTGACTGACTGATCAGAATTAAAAATATTAAAGAATCTACAATATACGCAAAAGAGACAAAATGTTTTTTATATCTTTTTTGTCGAATTAGAACTCCTAAAAGCAGGTTACCCCGCAACATAGAGGATGGTAAAGCCTGTAGTCTGCTCAGCTTTGACCACAGCCTCGTTTTCATGACGACTGAGTAGATGACAAGCAAATATCATGGAAACAAAATTGCTCTCTCTGAGCACTATAATTGAGACCGTAACCTGCAATAAAAAAATGATTTGTACCCCTAAGCCTGACAGCGAGTATAATACCCAGTTTCTATATGGGATCGGGAGTCCTTCCCCTAGCCCATTGGAAACTTTCCGTAACCAAAGCTATGTTACAACAAATCGCTTTGATAAAAAGAAAAAAAAAATGTTAATTATATTACTTGCTCTAAGCTCAACATAATTTTTAAGTTGTAACCTTTTTTGTTACATTAAGTGCATTTTATTTGTGTGTTGGATAATCCCTGGTTTTAACGATATTTTACTCCTTAAACAAGGTTAAAATTGAGGCACAACGAACAAGAACACTTAAACACAAGCCCAGTAGTTTATCAGATATGTATTTACATATATATAAAGGTCTGTATGTCTTTATTTGCTTATAACTGCGCAGCTGTTAAGAATGATTGACCAGCACTTCTTTTATCCTCATATCGCTCAGTTCAATGATCCCTCTGTGTATTTTCTTAACTGTGCAGCTGTAGAAATATCAACACTTCTTATCTTCATGCCGCTTTTAAATTAATCATTGTGTTGGTGAAAAAAAAATTGGTTGGTTTTCAAGATGAAATTACACTGAAGACTGCCCTAATAATTTGGGCAAAAAGTTTGGTGTGATCAGGAGCCGATTAAGTAATCGGCTCCTGGTGTGATATGATTTTGAGATTGTGCTACAGAAACTTGAAAACGTTATCTTAATACCATTAATACATTTTCCGTTTTCAAAGAAAATTTTCGTCCACCCGTAGCATTTTTGGACCGTTTTTGTCCGTTTTCAAATATTTTTTCACACTATCTACTAATATGTGTTTTGCCGGTATCCGGATTGGCTTCGGACCATTCGCAAGTTAAAAACTCTCCCTCAACCTCTTGGAAATAGTTGCTCGGTAGACCCACGAAACCCTTCAACATCCTAGACTAACCCAGTACTTTAGCCAGCACTGTAGACTTGCTATATTAGCCAACAAATTTGGCTACGTAGTCGTGCAATATTGCTATCTATTGCGAGAGACATAAAGCCGAATTCTGTTACCGGTTAATCGTTTTAGCTGAGATTCATGCAGGTGATTAAGAATCAAATACTCAGACCGCCTTTAAAACCTTGTTTTGTTGTGCTCAAAGCAGTACATATGGGCTTATGAAACAGCTTTTACTCTTTCTTACTCATAGAGCTACAAGTGTATTGAAACAAGGTCATTGATCCTGGGCTCAGTGTTGGCTGAATATAAAACCCTCTCCTTAATTTGTTTGGTTGGTTACTAACATCAATTTTTGCTAAACACATAACATTTTTATATCAATTGTTAATGTATTATGTATTATGTATTTTTACTATGGTTTTACGAGAAAACGTGACTGAGGACCACAATAACTTCAGCTGGTACTTAAGTGAAAACCCTTTTGTTTTCTAGCTCAGAATTTGCTCAATAATCGTTTCCTATCATAACTGAAACCGTTGAACCAAAAGCAATTCTGTTTTTTAGAGACTGGTGCTTCACCTGCCTGCCCACCGCACACCTCAACTTGTTGTTATGATTTATGGCTCATTAACTAACTAAAGATTTTCGCCCGGCTAAACGTTCGTGGATGGTCCACCGGATAATTCTTAAGGTCCTCGCCAAACCGAACATCAAAATATCCTGTCTAACAACTTTACTGAATAAAACTTTTATTAGAGATACCACTAAGTTTTTCAAGTTTCAGTCTGATTTGTTTTCGATGTTTTTCCACTTGGCTTGTAAAGACATTAGTCGACACCGCCAATGTCCGCGCCGTTAGTTTATCTTAACGAAATACTGTGTCCGTTCACTGTTTCCCCCCCAAATGCATGTACCTTTTAAAAATCTTAGTACTCAGTCCTCACAGATCAGTTCTGCAAACTTTCGCTCTGACTCAGTTTGACTGGGCAGGTATCCTTCGCTTTTGATTCTAACTTAGAACAACAGGCGAACTCTTAGTCGACTCAAAGCTTTCAAGCAAAAACAGGGTGATTGAATTAAGTTGATCTTAAAAAAAGAATAAATCTTACCTTTCAGATACCTTTGATTGATGGCCTGATATTGGTGTATAATAGCATGTAATATCTTAGTCTTGAGTCTATGAAGACGGATCTAAATATGTCTAACCACTCGCGAAGTAGACAAGTATTTACATACACGAAAAAACTAAGCAATCATTGAGCGTAACATACCCATGCGTGAGACTACCCTATAAATCGCCGGAGGGAATATGTCTCCTGACAGCATGGAAGCAGGCAAAACAAAAGGTTCCTTTGTAGTTACGCTCAATCGGGCTCTATAGTTTGTTATCAAATGACTTCATGGGGACAAAACTTTACATAACTATGGCCTGAAGCAAATAAAACACTCAGCTCTAAGGAAATAAGATACGTATTCACATGATTTTATTGCAATTTCCAGAACTTTTTGACGATCAAAAATTTTTCTGTTTCTTACTACTTTAATGATTAACCAACTTGTTTTCATAATATCGTTTAAAATAGATAACATTATTTGCATCACTTAGCAAAACATAAGGGCAATTAGGAAAATGATAATAACAAAGGAAGCTACGCGGAATATATGTTCAATCTTGTTTTGAATAAAGGTACATGCGATTTGTTATTGATCTGTACTTGATTGAATTAGCTTTCTTGCAGAGTGAGATTACTTTTTTGTCCAAATACCTATGGATCGGAAACGTTTGTATAAAATAATTAACCTTCAATATTTAATGAATTATGGAATATATTCAATTTATATGACATATACTTAAGCGCAGTGCTGTAGATTCCAGAGCAGAGAGCTTATTTCCAGGCCGGTCCCAGGCGTTCAGAAGAGAAAATTTTCTTCTACCCTCTCTCCCCTAGCCCGTCGCTGTTGTTTGCCTCCTTGACAACTTTTAAACACAACTCCAAAAATTACAGTTTAAGGCATTCAAAGAGGAATAGGAATTGGTAAATTAAACCAAAATAGGAAAACAAGGCGCACACAAAAAAAGATTAAACAACGTTATAAAAAGAAAAGAAAATGAAATTACCTGGTCATGTGATCAACCACGCCCCCTTTTTATACGGAAAAACTCGCATCCAGCTATTCCCACCACTTTCTAAGTTTCTTTGTATTATAACGTACTTAACATTGGCTTAACTACATTTCAGCAAAAAAATATTTTAGACCGTTCATTGGGAAGCTTAGCTTGTTTCTGAAACCTCCGCAATAAGGTCTTGGAAGAAAACTTTTCCAGAACTTCCTGATCAACTGTCTTGTGAATATATGTAAGTCCTCGAACGATAATAAGCTTTGACAATTCTCTTTTAAGGTTATGTACACGATAATTCGTCATAAATCAAATGAATTATTTTCAAAAACATTTTACTTTGAGAGAAACATTCAGCTCTTAACCAAAACCAAAAAGACTCCTGTTCATCGTAGATGTCAAGTTTACTTTACTGCAGACTTCATCTGTTTGTATACGTGCTTGTATCATGTACAAAAGAAATACTTGTACTCTTGCAATAGCGTCGCAAAGGAAATCAAGGGAAAGGCGTCAAATTAAAAGGCTTCCTCTCATTATTTAACAATAAAAATAGAACGTGGCTGGTCATGCGACACGGTTATAGACAATTTTCTGATTGACATTTGCATATTTCGTGGCTAAAATCATAATATACATACAAGCTCAAAAGATCTATTACCCATGAATTTGTAAAATAAAAAGGGAGTGCAAATCAACAGGATAGGTAGATTAACAGAGCTCTTATATTACTCTCAATTCCAAAAGGGTCTACAAAGAATTCCTTCTCTATGTTTATCCACCCCTTATCTGGCGCGTCTACAGTGCTTTAATTCAACTGGCGCTGATGGACTATCATGGTGCCGACATCGCGAGCGATCACTGCCCCCTATTGATTCCCTTTGTGTCATCTTCCTCTCACGAAAAAAAGTGTGCGAGTGCTCTACACCGTTTCAGCATACATGAAAAATCAAACTCGACTTGTTTTACTCAAAGTTTGTTGCAAAGCTGTAATTATTGGATAAAAGCCATTTCAGCTATTCAGAAGTAGCCAAATTTTCCTTGAATCCCGCTAAAATTCTAATGCGCGAGGGCTGGTAGTGAAACTACCTTTGTGACGTCACACAAAAGACATCGCGCGTTTTTCAAAAACAGCGAGCCCATTACTAATGTCGACGGATGCATTTGCCAAGGGCATAAAATGAAAAGGAAAAAGGGATTGATCACTTATATGCTTTGCTTGTTTGTAGTTCATAACGTTTGCCAAGGTAAGATTCGAGGGAAGGATAAATGCATGTGTGAACTTTTTGATTAAGATGTTCACCGAAACTATCAATATATTATTTAAACTAAGATATCTCAGGAGCACTCAACGAAGGTTCTCTCCTAAATGCAGTAAAAACACTTTTTAGGCTATCCAGAATACTTTTAGATCTTTAGAAATACATTCTAATCGGCGCTATAATATTCTGTTCGGTCATCCTAGGATAACTTGGGTCTTTTCGAAATTACCAGGGCTTCAGACATGTTATTTTCCCGAATATTTTTGATGCAATTTAAAGTTTTACGAAAGTGAGAATTTTTCTGATTCCTCTTTCCGGCGCATTTTCGAATCAGAAAATTCTAAGTTGCCTTTTTCTGCGAAAAATCAAACTTCAGAAAATCGTAGGGAAAAATCGAAAAATGTACATGAATGGAACGGTCCCCTAGAAATTCTTAGCCTTCCTAAGGTATAGAAAATTCTAGGCAATTTTTGCTTCTCCGAACAGATATAAATTATAGCCGTTATATCTAGGATTTTTGAAAACGTTCCTACCAGCTATGGCAACAATTTAACCGAAATGTGGCCGAAATAGCGCGTTCATGCTTGCATCTGATAAGCTCGAAAATCGCACTAAGAAAGGAAAAGCAGTGGAAAATATACAGAGCGAAGGAAAAATAAGGGAGGTGATGAGGAAAGAATGTGATGATTGCGCTGTTAGTTTTTGCATTGGCTGCTTTAGAGAGAGTTCTTAAACGAAACAAATGGCTTGACTAAAGAGGTCTACTTTAGAAGTAACGTTTTCAAAAATCCAGCTAGATATTAAATGATAATCTATCTGCCTTTGCTAATAATTACATGTAGGTTTACTCCTTCAAACCGAAAAAAGAAAGGATTTATCTGCCCTCCTGTTTGATGTACACGCCAGCGACAGAGATAGTATCACGGGATCCAGGACTACACTTATTACCACAAACTCTGACAGGGATTTCCATTCATACCCAACTGGTAAACTTAGGAAATCTGCGAAAGCTCGTTGGAAGGTTATTTGTCCTTCACATGAGGTAAGCACCGTTCAGCCTCGTATTTTTCAAGAGCGTGATACCGAACTGAAATCTACTGCAAGCGATGGTAACGTGGGAGAAAATTCAAAGAAAATAACTTCTGGAGCAATGAAAGTTAAAGACAAGCTGCCAGGACACGCTTTGAGGGAGTCCGCAATGGATGCTGGGATGACACCTCAGAAAGAAACTAAACTAAAGGATTTTGAAAGCAAAAAGAAAGCAGAAGAAGTCGCAGAAAGTAAAATTCGTAAACAGACAGGCAAAGGTCAGTCATTTCAAGGTAAAATAGACGACAGCTTATTGCAAGGGGAACCTATTCTGAGAAAGTCTTACGGACCTACGCAACCTCGAGCAAGATCACACATTAAAATGGCTTCACATTCCGAAACTCGCTTGAATGATCGTAGGACATCAATAGCAAGGAAGCAGAATTCCCTACCTACAGCAACAACGGAATCGCTCTCTCCTGGAGAAGTTGCGGCCATAACTGTGGGATTAATGGCAGGAGCGATGGTACTGATGGTTATTGGGACGGCGCTTTGGTGAGTTTTAATGTTAGCTGCAGAATGGACCTTATTCACGATATCCGCCGTCTTTGCACGCGCTTTAGAACCGATGGGATAAAAGCAATGTTGCATGGTTTCTCATGGGGGGACAAGTGAAAAAATTTACCAGTGCAAGAAATCGCGGTTGATTTTGTTTATTCTGTACATCAGAAAATGAATAACTTTTTGGAATAAAGACGATAATGGCAAGCTATGGGTAGAACTGATCATTGTTACTTTAGCTGGATGCAGTAGCGACCGTAGATGTCCTCACAGAAACAAATAATGAGGAACTAGAACTGTAGATTTTTCAAGACTATTAATTTTTCTTCTCGTTTTTATAGAATAAGCAAACTTGACCTCAACTACTCGTATTGGCACATTTTATCACTTGTTTGTCTTATGATTGTCTGGGTATCAGATGTTTCTCGGCGGAAAGGGCAAGGAAGACCTAAATCTCAGGCTACTCTTATGATCTCGCCTAAGGTTCGATCCATATAAGGTAACCCGGACTCTAGTATCAAAGAAAATTTTACTAGTGGAATGTGGAATCCTCGGTTTTGGAACACGGAATCTCACTAACGATTGGAATCCGCTTGAAATCCAGAATCCAAGACTGTCTTGGATTACCTTATACGGGGCGATAAAGTATATCAAAAACATCTGAAAACTAAGATAGACGATAGCCTGGAAGAAAATAATTAATTAGCTTTTGTTAGATTACTTACGAGGAGCTCCCAATACGATATTGTTCAAAAAATGAAACAAAGCATAATATAACCGGCGACTTTTTGTATAGATCCAGATTTCTGGAAAAAAGAACACCTAAAGCGAACAAGAACACACCATAAAATGTGCTCTTTAAGCAGCAAAGCAACAACATAGGTAAAAATTTGTTATTGTTTCTCTCTTAGTTTATAAGTATTGCAAAAATATCAAGTTTTACTGAAAGGAAATCAGTACTCCGCCTAGTTGCTTCTTATTCTTCTAAGAGATGGCGGGGGCGAGAAAAATCACAATGGTTATTAAGGAGCGTCGGGGAACTGGTTCAGTGGATATGCTATTACAGCGACTGACTGTTTTGTTTGAAATTTCAAAACCCTGGGACCAGGCTCCGCAATGGTTGAAAAAGGAAAAAAAACGAGGTAAAAAAGAAAAAAAAAATACAATCGTCGAGCGAGCGAGCGGTGGACTGAAGAGAGGGTAAGGGCGGCCACCCTTCCCCGTTCCCAGACTTCCGCTCGGCTGGCTTCGCTCGCTGAGATTTTTTGGCTGCGGAGCCTGGTGCCAGGCTAGAAATTTAGCATCTTCCAAAGTCTGTTAATTCAATTTTTCTTTTAAGGATGAAGTGCGAGAATCGATTCATTAGGCGTACCGATCCAGAATTAGGATTGGCGAGTCCAGCGATGACACGCTTTGGTGAAGAACTTAGTGAAGAGGAAATCATATTTGAAAGGAATTTCAAAGTTACAAGAAGTAAAAAGGAACCTTCTACACCGCAATCAAATTCAAGCTCCACTAGTGCCCCTCATCCAACAAGTCTTTTAACAACGTGAGATATTGCTGAATAATATTTCTTGCAATTTATTTACGAATTTAAATAAAAAATACATTTTTTTTATTTTCGGATGGATTTTAATTTAAATGCAGGGAAAAATATTCTTTAGGTTTTCCTCAGTATTAACTGTCTGCGAAATTTTGACTCACGTTGTAGAAATGGTCTAAATAACGTCATAAAATTGGTAGCATCGTGACTATGATCGTAAATCAGGCAGGTCTGGGAATTCTCGATGTCCTCGACCGATTCGAGAATTTCTTTAGGGTAGGGAACTTTGATGGCACTAAGTATTTGTTGTTTTTTGGGTGGCTTGATTTAAGTAAGACTGTTCACAGCCCCCTATTTTGTCGTGAGACCGTCGAGATAGAGCGCGTCTTAACGTTAATGGCTGCCATCTTGATTTTCAAATGTACCGAGAGGGTGGGCGTCGGAGATTATAGCTCTAGGGGGAGGGGGGCGAGAAACCTCCAAACCGCCCCGCCCCCTAAGTAGTTTTGACACACATGCAAGATGGCCGCCTGTAAAGCAAGGAGCTCGATCTCGACGATCTTACGAAAAAATAGAGGACTGTGAACAGTCTAGATTTAAGTAGAAAGTTTATTTTTGGGTATTCACAAAAAGCTGAAGATTGGTGTAGTACAACGCATGTACATGCCGACCGCTAGAATTTCTCAAAGGTAGTTTCCGGTTTCTCCACAGGTGCGCCAAGCTCACGAGTGAGAATCGTTGAATCGTTGTTGCGTAACAGAAATATTATAGGAGTTTTGTATGGAAATTTAAGCGATCGTTATTAGGGTCAAAATAGTAATAAAAAATACATCAGAATTTCTTACCTTGTCTCCTTGTCTAAATTTATGGTGTTTTTTTTAGCATTTTTGGCCGTTTCAGGGCTGATTCCAGCTAGTTTTAATTCTAGCGTTGTTTGCTACGCGCGCCCGTTTTTTCTTGCGCCCACTACTTCCAAGCACCGGCTACGCAGGCTTTTCTACATGGGGCATCTTGACAACTTTGCTTATGTTTGACCAGTATTTGGAACGAAAGCAGTATGAATATTAAGTGTAGAAATTCTGAAGACAATGAGAATTCGAAATGGTTTGTAGGTTAGAGGGGTACTTTCTTAATGACTTGCTAACTAGCTCTCACGCGCGTAGTGAGCGCTTACACTATTGCTATTATTCGCACCGGTTCTCTCTAGCACTTCTGCCCTCCAATTTTTGCTGGAAACATTTCTACTCCTTATGCTCTTATTGAACGGTCTCTAGCCAGGGCCAGCTGATACAACTAACAGAACACATGGCCCTAATATTCTGTACGCAAAAAATAGATATCGAGTAACATGAATCCCTGAAACACCCAAAACATATTCACCTTATTTTGACTCAGCATCACTCAATCATTACGCCCATTGTATAACTGACAAATTTCTCGAAAATTAAATAAAAATCGGCGCGTGATTCAGAATCTAAATTCCCTCAAAGAAAGTTACCAGTTTGTTTTAAATAAGCCTTTTTCCATACAACATCAGTAGTCTTAGACAAATGCTATGGCGAGATCTATTCAAAATGGCGCCCTCTCAGCATGTTGGTTGGTAAATTATTTGAATAAATCTCGCCCAAGCATCTGTCTAAGACTACTAAGATCATCAAGTTTATCAAACTCAGCACTCTCTCCTCCGCAGAGGCTCCCGCTGGGTATTTTGAAAATAGCAATGATCGAAAAAATAGAAAGCGTGCGGGAGCCTCTCTTCTCTCTTCTCCCTTCCAATCGTTTCCCGCGCGCTCTCTAATTCTTTCTCCCCGGCCTCCCCTCAACACCAAGAGGCCTCCGCGGAGGAGAGGGAATTCGGCACGAAACAGACTTGTAAACTGCAAAAGAAGCAATTCTCATGTTTTATATTAAACACTCTTCTTGAGCAAACTTTAATGTCTCGTCTTCATTCTTCTTGCGGCTCCACCGCCAGAAGCAATTTATTCTAGCCTGTACACAGACGTTGTTTTATTTTTCTTTTCGTTCTTTCCGAAAACAACGGCGAGCTCGCGAGAACGAGCGCCTTGCACTGGCGGTCAATAAATCCCCTGCGGTTTATATTTTATCACCCGCGCTCGACTAGCCTGTATACAGACATTGTTTTATTTTTCCTTTCGTTCTTTT